GGGATGCTATTAACATTAAGGGAGTTTAAGGGGGGGGGGGTGGTACGTCATTGCTGTGCATCGCACGCGGTGTGCCTCTGCACGACCAACCAAGAACGATCGGCGACGCAGTACAAGAGTACAATACAGAGGGGGGCCCGGAATAGTGCAGGGGTGTGTCTAGAGATGTTACCTGCACTACTCAACCTACACTACACCGTCCCCCCCCCCCCGTAGTACAATAGTAAAGGGCAGAGGGGGTGGCGATAAGGCGAGTGCCCGACGTGCAGGCGGCCAAAAGGCGCGACCGCAACACTAGAAAAAACTGGGGTGCTGCAACAGACGTGCTTCTTCGAAGAAAACACGAACAGCTACGTGTAAATGGAGCAGCAGCAGAAGTAGCAGCAGCAACCGCAGCGGCAAGTAGCCTTCGCGTTCGAGATTCGCTTGGGGGGGTACACGAACAATGAAGAAAGGATTGGCAATGCCAACTGTCTGGCAGCATTGCGCCATGCCCCGGCCGGCCGGCACCACACAACCAACACCATAAAAAGAAAAAAATACGTGACGCGAAAACCTGAATAGCCCTCACTGTTGTCAAGACTTCAACACATCGCCTCGATTGGGACAATAAAACATGTATCTCGAACCGGCAAACTAGTCTTTCGGTTGTATGCATTGTGCATTAAAAAAAAAAAAAAACTTCTGTGTGGTCGCATGAAAAGGCGCATTTTTTTTTTTTTCTGAAAAGAAGAACGTGTATTGGCAACACCTAGTATACCTGAAGCTGTGTGCTCGCGTCGTCTCTGATGAACTGCTTCCAGCTCTTGTACTGCGCGTACGTGGACACGAGCGGCGCCCTCTCGCGCCCCCTCGGCGGGTGTCCGTACTCCGCCTGAAAGTTCACCTCGTAGTGGTCGATCTGCGCCCGCAGCGTGCGGCACGCCTGTGGAGCGAAAACAAACATGTGAACGTTTTTTTTTTTTTTTTTTTGACAAGGATGGGGAAGGAACATAGATGGTGGGCGGATGGATGGAGGGCACATGGGTCACGGGAGAAAAGAAAAAAAATAGGGCGACGACTTTTTAGGAATACGATGTCGTGGTGCGGTGAATGCAGGGCACACGATACGGGGGCGGGGAGGAAGGGCGAAGACTCCAGGGACAGGATGGCACGGACGTGTACCCACAAAATCAAAACCATTCCTCAGGGAAGAAGAAACCCACACACCGTGCCAGTGCCAAAGAACAGCACTACACTTCCGGGTCAGAAAACGAAACAGAACCCATCCCGTGAGAACCTATGGCTCCGTGCGTTCACATACATGTCACGGAACTTTTCGCGACACAACGGTGCCCACACAAAACAAACCAACCCCAACCCTTTCGCACATCGCCCCCCTCTCACGCGCCCCACCTTTTCGCCCCTCCCTAAAAAAAAAAATGTACAAGAAGAAACGCACAACGGCACACAAATAGCCACCCAAACCCTTTCGCATACATGGCCCCTGTCTCATTCAATTCATTCCGCGCCCCATCCTCCCTCAAAAGAAACGCACCAGCATCATGCGACGGCGCTCCAAAGACCCCGCCACAGATCTCCTTCCCCCGCGCCCCGTCGGGTCAGCCCCGGCTCCGCCCCCCCAAGCATCTCCGCCCGTTCTCCCCACCGTCCCCGCCGCCGCCTTCGCCGCTTCATCAACCGCAGGAGTCGACCCGTTGTCCGTCACTACTACCGCCGTCGCCGCGTCTACCGGCTTGTCCGCCGCCCCCCCGGGACTTCTAGAAGAAGCCCCCCCCGCCGCCGCCCCCGAGGCGGTAGATTTCTCTCCCCCCGCCGCCGCCGCCGCGCCGCCGTCATCATTCCCAGCGCTAGCGGCCGCGGCAGCAGCAGCAGCAGCAGCAGCAGCAGCAGCCCGCCCTGCCGCAGCCGAGGCGTCGTCCTCGTCTTCATCGAGGTCGAAGAACGAGTGCTTGCGGAGGTACGCCGGTCCCCCCGTGTCACCGCCCGCGGACGAGAGGCTGGGGGGGCCGAAGTGGGCCGCCGTTACCGCGGGGGGAGGGGCGTGGAGCATGTGCGGTCGCAGGAAGCTCCTCAACCGCCCCGCTACCGTGTCGACAGAAATAAAAACGACAGCGGTGTGTTTTGAGAAGCGGCCGAAGGCGGTTCGGGGGCGGGATTATGATCACGTAAGACGGAAGGGGGGGTACTCACAGCCGTGTGCGTGCCTTAGCGGTTAGACAATTGACCTCGCATCCCTACAAAGCCGGGACGGAGCGCGCTGGTTTCGGGGGGGGGGGGAGGAGGAGGCATACTCAAGTGTTGCATGCCTCAGCTGTTAGACAATTGACCACGGGGGCAAAGAGGGGAAGTTGGAGCGAGGGTCTACGTGCCATCCATAACGAATCTGTGTTTCGATTGAACGCCTTGGTAACGAGACCGCTCAGTGCTCTCCTGAGATTTTTCTTCCAAGACCAGTCTCGCAGAAAAAGAGCAAAAGACACCTCAGAGAATACATGAGAGGGGTTTGCACAGAAGGAGCAGCTTCCGCGCTTTGATTAGGAGACCGCCTTGAATTTTACCCAAAGTTTTTCTTGAAGAACAGTCTCGCCAAAATCACAACAAAACATTCAAAACTCAGCGATCAGTCCCAGCGCGACGAAGAGTGTCTGCAAGATCAACTTTTGCTTGCCCCTATTCTCAACGCCAACCAAATACCGCGCATCTCACGGCATCCCCCCCCCCCCCCATTTTCTTAGTTTTTTTTATTGTCCCCAATAAATATTGCTGCGGATAAATAAATATTCTCAGAGACCCTTCACTATTGGGCCGAAGCCGTTTGCGGATATGACAACATCTGACATGTGCGCGGTGTAACGCGTTGGCGCGCGCGAGACGATCAAATGACCCGAATGTGCCAGTTGTTTCTTGGGGTGATGGTTGCCAGCTTGGCACGCACGAGGGCAAATGAGGGGGCCTCTCCGAGTAGATTCTATGTGCCCCCCCCCCCCCATCACCGGTGTCTCCCTCACACGATGACACGATGACATTGTCCTCATCACACCAAATAGCGAGGCCGAGTCTCGTTGGCCATCATGTCTGCGTGACAATAGCGGAGATGCGCAACTGCATCTGTCTGTCTGTCTGTCTGCATCTCTCTCCGTTCCTCTGCCTCTCTCTCATCAACAGACAAAAAAAACGAAAACCACAGCGACTGAACCAACCACGACACACCTTGAGGCCCGCCGAAGAGCTCGCCGTGCCCTCTTCGTCTACCCGCACCGTCGCCGCCGCCGCCGCCCCTGCCCCCGCTCCCGTCGCTCTCCTCCCCGTCCTCCTCCCCCTCCGACCCGGCGTACACGAGCAGCGACACGCTGTCGTTCATCAGCTGCTGTACGATGTAGAGGTCGTTCGAGCTCGGCCTGGCCAACAGCACACCATAGCACAACGACAAGCAAGGAAAGAGAAAAATAGAAAGTGAGAGTAGGCTCCGCCAACAGCAAGACGCAATACAGCAGCACAACGCTCATGAGAAATCGAGAAAATAAGAAAATTAAATGATGAGAAAATGAGAAGACGAGAAAAACGAAAAATGACGAACAGCACAACACAACAAAAACACAACGATGACCAACCGGACCAAAAATGAGAAAATAAGAAAAATGAGATGATCAGGAAAGAGACCAGGTGGAATCGAGAAGTCATGAGAAAATGAGAAAATGAGAAACCAGAAATGGCAAACAGCACAACACAACACAACACAACACAAACAAAACAACGATGGCCAACGGGACCAAAAAATAAGAATTTGAGAAAAATGAGACAATGAGGAAAGAGATCTGGGTGAAAAAAAATAAATTGAGAATTTATGAGAAAATGAAAAATGAGAAAGGAGAAAACGAGAAAACAAGAAATTGCGAACCGCACAACACAACGATGACCAACGGGGCCGAAAATTGATAACTTGATCTACTCATAAAAATAAAAAAAGCGAAAATGAGAGAAAGCGAAAAAGCGACAATATGAGAAAATGAGAAAAATGAGAAAAGACGATGACGGAGACAGGCACACCCGCACACAACGGTAAAAAAAGAGAGACAGGACAACACAACGATCACCAACGGAACGGCAAAAAGGAGAAAGTGACAACAATGGAGACAGACGCACCACAGCAACCAAAGAGGGACAACTTTTTTTTTTTTCCACGTCAAATCTTCACTTCCAATCAGCGCTCACAGCACTTGTGTGCCGTGTACTCCAACCCGTGGTCCCACTGAAGGGTTTCCCCCTACACACCTCTCTTGCGGTACTTCGCCTTCGATTATGAATGCGAGGCCCAGGCCAGGAACGGAAGCGAGAGAAAAACTCACTTTGCAAAAAAAAAAACTCGCTTGCGCCGGGATTCGAACCCCTGACCCTGACGACTATTTACGTACACGGTTTGGTTTTTGAGGTAGAGGTACCAACCACGTAGACTACCGGGGCCACCTACAATGACGAAAGAAAAAACGAGAAAACGATGACGATGGAGACACGCACACCCCCCACGACACACATAGGCTGTAAGAGAGGGGAGGCAACCCCTTACGGTGACCTACGGGAAAATGAGTCTCATTTTCGCGTCCCCCATCGTTTGTGGGGATGTCCCGTCTCTCTTACAGCCTATGTATGTCGTGGGGGGTGTGCTTATCTACATCGCCGTCATTTCTCATTTTCCCGTCCCGTCCGCTAGCGTTGGGTTGTCCTACATATCTCTCTTGTTGGCTGTGGTGTGCGGGTCCGCGCGTGTCTCTGCCGTCATCTTCGTAAAGCAGAGAGGGGACTTTGGTGGTGCGGTCTCCAGAGAAAAGGGGTTGTCGAGACTGGCGGGATTCATACTTCGCATCTCGCAAAGCGATTCTCGCGACGACAAGAGCCCTGCGCGTTTCCGTTAAACTCGCATGCATGGCAACGCAAGGCATGCGCGGGTGCGTGCTAACACAAGCTGCTGCACGAGTCCTTTCGGCCAAGCAAGTTGCCAGGTTGGTCGGGTTGCAGTCAACCGTCACCCCGTTTTGCACTCGGGGAAACAACCCGGATGCTAGCATAACAAGGGTACACTCCGAAAAATCTCCTGATTGTTACGCGTTTGGACCACTAAGCTCTTGAAGCACCTGTCAAACGCGCGGAGGCAAGGGATGTTACTCTAGATCTATGTGAGTCCACGAGACTCTTGGCATTTTGCATTTCGAGCAAAACTGCACCGACTTCCCCCACATGCCCGCTACTACTGCTGCAAGAATCCGGTTCGGGTACACAAAAGGTGACTGACTCGATGTGATCTGCATACACACCTGCGACCCCCCGCAGAAAGCGTGAGAGCCAAGCCCTCCTTCCCGCCCCCCTTCGCCTGACCGGCAACCAAGGCCTTGCTCCCAGCGGAGGCGTGGTTGCTGCGAAAGATGGGACAAGAAAGGGCAGAGGCGGGGGACAGAGAGTTATAAGGGGGACAGGAAGAGGGCGGGGGAGGGGAGGTGCAGAGCGAGCGAGCGAGAGGGCGAGAACACGCAGAGATAGCCAAGGCAAGGCAAGGCATACACGTACAACGAGTTAAGAGAGAAAGAGATGGCGGGGTAAACAAGCGAAGGACAACAAATAAGTGACAACAGCACGAGTTTTGGGGGGGGTTGGGCGGGGGGGCGCACGGACGTAACGCAAGATGTGTAGCCATGACAGCAGAGATAACCTTTACCTCACGCATGCTACGCCGCCGTGTGCAGGGAATAGCACATGAAGAACACCGTACGTACACATTCATGATACATACGGCGACTGTATGTCCCACCTACACCCTATCGTAAGAAAAAAGTAACAAAATGTTGGGCAAGGCATGTCGCTGGGCCGATGAACACAGAAGGTAAAACACAGCGGTGGAAAAAGCCCTCTATGCTCTGGACAGCTTTCAGCCTAGTTTACTCCGCCACTCCGCAGGAATACAAGCAGCAGCAGCAGCAGCAGCAGCAGCAGCAGCAGCAGCCGCAGCAGCAGCAGCGCTCAAAATAACGCAACCACCATCTCACCTCGCGTTGCGGTTCTGGCTGAGGATGGTGTGGTTCTCGATCAGAACCCGAACAACGGCCTGGATCTTCAGCAAGTCCTGCACGTGTCTCAAGGACATGAAGGCCGACCCTTGCGGCCGGCACAGCAGCGGGGCGAAAGTCTGCTCCGGGGGTGTCGCGGCAGGAGGAGCGGTGTTCGTCCGCGGCGCCGGCGGGGGCCGTAATGGGCAAGACGGGGGGGCGGGGGGCGGGTAGGAGATTCAGAGGGGGACGCCCAAAAACCGTCCAGCAGCACACGCCTCTCGGAGAGAGAAGCCGCAATAAGTCATTGGGGAGGAGCTGTCCAAAAGGTATGCAATAGTGTCGCTCAACCCTTCACGAATCCATGTTTGTCTTGCTGCGCATTTTCATATGAGCATGTTCGTGTGGGTGCTCAAGCTACTTGTGTTGTACTATTAAGTCTTGTTTTGGGGGGCGGGGGGGGGTGTACTCATAGTCGTGCGTGCCGTAGTCGTTAGACCATTGACCTCGCATCCCTACAAAGCCGGGGCGGAGCACGCCGGGTTCTCACCGGACTAGGCTCTCACATCACCACGCGCGAAGCGCCGAGAGGTGGGGGGAGGGCAAACATCTAAGAAGTACATGGTATGCACACGGAAAACACGAAAAACATCTGCAGACCACCCCGTCCATGGTGAGAGCCATGACAGCGACCCTAAATGAAGTATCGTGAGCGCTTGTCTCGAAACATTTGATAGCCGTTCCGGTCTCCGCTGAGTACCTTCTAATACCCATACTGCTCCAAAGGGCGACGTGAACGCCTTCCATGGTCACAGGCCAACCAACCGCACATCGTTGAACACACCGTTTCATCAGGCGGTCTTAGAAATAACCAAGGTGCATGGGTTGGTGCTACAACTGCAAGGCGGACCAAATGAATTTCTCACCTGAGAGAGAACCTCCGAGGTCATCTCGTTAACGTTGCTCAACGCTGCGACCTGGGCGAGGAACTCGAGCAGCAGGCAGAGTACCTGGATCGATCGATCGATTGATTGATTCGGGCATCCCATGTCACCCAAGCAGGAAAGCAGCAGGCACGCAGGTAAGCACTGTGCGTTGTTGTTGTTGTTGTTGTTGTTGTTATTGTTGGGGGCGAACGACGTACTTGATGGCGATGAAAATTCAGCACTCGAATGTTCAAAAAGAAGCACCCCGTCTAACCGCTAAGGCATGCAAAACATAAGAGTACGCCCCCCTCCCCCCGCATGTTCGGGCGGAAGACAGTACGCCTCGTGTACACGGGCAAACCATGGGGGACGAGAAATAGACGAGGGGAGAGGTAGGGAGAGAGAGAGAGAGAGAGAGAGAGAGAGAGAGAGAGAGAGAGATGTACCCACCCTCCAAAACACAACGACATCACCGTACACACAAAAGGGGCGGAAAAGACTGGCGCAGCAGCCGTCATTTCTAGCGCCAGAACTCGCAACACGCCAGGCCACTTGCCACAATCACCGACAATCCACACCGCGTAACAACTGCGTGCGAATTGTCACACTGTCACACGGGAGGAGTTGACAGCGTCCAACGGTCGGCCGCAAAACCCAAAACAGGCGGCAAGCACCGCAGGTTACATGACGCAAGACACCACACCCCTTTGGTCCAATTTGAAAACTCGAAAAGGTACTTTGGGACGAACAGGACGCCGCAATCAAGCGGTAAGTTTTCGGAGAGCTTTCCCCCAGACGGTTCGAACGCCTCCCGCCATTTTCGGCCCCGGCCATGGTTTTGCCGCAGAGTAATCGGGTTTTGCAAATGGGTCCAAAAGGGGGGCGTCCTCCCTTAGACAAAACCTATGGTGTGCACACGCGTAACACAAAACAAGTGCCGTTGGCAGCTGCTGCCCCCCCCCCCACCGAAGGGCCCAAAACGCACAGTTGTGCACCAACAGAGCACGCGCTTTCCAAGAAAGCCACCTCGCTGAGGGGGACGGAGCTCACACTGGCCGACACCCGGGAATGTCGCTTTCCGCCCCAAGAAAATTACCTCCTGCCTGCCGCGCATCGTGGACAGCTTGGCTCACGGGGAAATTCCGCGCGGAAGGACCCCCCCCCCCCCCCCCCCCCCCCCCCCAAAAAAAAAGGGGGGGGCAAGGGAAAAAAAAAATTGGCGGGGGGGGGTCTAATTCGGAAGGGGTGGTTTTTTTGTTTTTTATTTGGGTTTTCCAAAAATCCCCCCCAAAAAACACCGCCCTCCACAGTTCCAATAAACCCCCGCAAAAGGGGAAGGAAGAAAGGGGGTTTTTTCTTTCTTTCCCCCCCCC